GGCGGCCGCTGCTGTCCCCGGACATCGCGCCAATTCGCCGTGCAACTTCGGAACGGCGGAAGTTCGCGCCAGAAACTGAAACCCCTGCTCGGCGCGAGCGCCCGCTCCCCGCGGAACGCGGCTCCCGGGCTGGCGCCAGCGCACAGCGACGCCTCTGGCGGGAGGCCGGCGGCGGGCGCGGTGCTGGGCGCTCCCGAGGCGCCGCGGGGCCCCGGCCCCGGCCCTCCGCTCGCTGGCCGTTTGCCGCACCCGGGGCCCGCTTACTCCTCGCTGCGCGGGGGTCACGGCCTTGGCCCGCCGGGCCCCCCACCCGGCCCGCATCTTCCCGGGTCTCTTTGGTTCCCCAGGACACCGCCACGGCCTGGCGACGTCAGGGCGCGCAGGGCACGTGTGTCATGGAGGCTGCCGCGGATGACGCCGGGCTCGGAGGCAGAGATGTGGCTCTGTGACCTGAGTTTCTCCGAGCCATCACGGGGCGGATCCACTGAGGTTCACGTGCAGCCGGCAGTCCCACTCCTGGTGAAGCCAGAAGGACAACAAAAATGAACAACAAAAAATTGACTTTCTCCTAGTAAACTGTTAACCGTCCCTTCTAAATAGCTACAGCATGGCAGCTTATGTTCACAATTGGTTCTCAAGCTAAAATATTCTGAAGTATCTTCAAAAAGGGTCCAAGACAGATGGAATTATATTCAGAAAAACCTATGACTTTCATGCTACGTATTTGGGGTTGTACTGCAAATGTTGTTTCTCAAAAGTTCTCTTTGGTGCTGAGAATGCATTCGATTTTCTCAAGGAAACAATAATATAAGTTGCGTTTCTACGTAAGGCTACAAAAATACTTCTGTGCGTCTTGTACAGTCAGCTGGAGGTAAACGCTGTTTGCAGCTGCCCCACAGCCGGTACAGCACCGCAGCCCTACTTACCTGGGTTTCAGAAAAGGTAAAAGCTGGTGCCTGCTTCATTGGATGCGTTATAATTGGCCTAAATGAGTCGTGGCAATCTTATCCTCCTTCCTCAATGACTGGACTAGGGACGGGCATGTAATCCAGCTCTGGTCAGTGATATGGGAGGGGGCGTCCCATCTGCATGAAACACAAAGCCTCCAGAAAAGAGAGGCTTTATCCCCACCCTCACTCCTTCTTTAAGATGCTGATGTGATAAACTGGTACCCGACACGACAGCAGCCATCTATGACGAAGTGACAAGCATGAGGAAAAGACCAGGATGCTAAGGGACGGAGGAGAAGGACGGACATAGCTGAGTTGCTGAGTAACTGCCTGTCTCCAGACTGCTTGTTAAGTGAGCTGTAAATATCCTGTGCTAATTGTTTTGCGGTTATCACTTGCAGCTCAGCGCGTCGGGACCGAAACAAGTAGTTAGCATTCTTCTAGGTGGAAATTCATTCCGAGCTCCCGATACAAATACCTGGAGCATTTCATTCAGTTCCATGAGGTTTTGGTGTGTTCTAATGAGCCAGACACCCTACAAACACAGTAGATCACGAGGATGGCTCAGAGACTTGTCTTTGCCTTCCATGGTCTCACGAGGAGACAGACATGAAACTGATCCTAAAATTCATATGGAAATACAAGGGATCCAGAAGCCAAAACGATCTTGAAAAAGAAGAACAGAGTTGGCAGGACTTGCATTCCTCCATTCCAAGACTTACTACAGAGCTGTAGCAATTAAGACTGTGTGGTGTTGGCGTAAGGATAGACAGATTGATCGATGGGATAAAATCAAAACTCCGCAAATAAACCTTTTCATCCACGGTCAATTGATTTTTTACAAAGGTGCCAAGACAATTCAAGGGGGAAAGAACAGTCCTTGCTACAAATTGTGCTAGGACAATAGGATATCAACATGCAAAAGAATGAAGTTGGACCTCTCCCTCATGCTATATATAAGAATTAACTCAAAATGGATCTGATCTAAATAAATGTAAGAGCTAACAGGATAAAAATCTTAGAAGAAAACACAGGTACAAATCTCTGTGGCCTTGGATTAGGTGATGGTTTCTTAGATATACCCCAAAAGCACAAGCAACCAAAGGAAAAAAAAAAAGATAAATTGGAGACCAGGTTAATGGTCATTTGTTAAAGCAGTAAGAAGAAACTAATACCGGTACCTAGGATGAGCACCTGTGATAAAAATTATCATAATTTTTTTAAGTTTATTTATTTATTTTGAGAGAGATCACAAGCAGGAGAGGGGCAGAGAGAGGAGGAGAGATAAAGAATCCTAAGCAGGCTCCACGCCGTCAGCATAAAGCCTGACGTGGGGCTCGAACTCACGAACCGTGACATCATGACGTGAGCCAAAATCAAGAGTCAGAGGCCTAACTGACCGAGCCCCAAGAAAGGTGGAGGTTAATTTGAGGTAAGGGTGGGGACAAATGGAGAATAACCCACATGATGGGTAAAAGGTTTATCAGGGTTTCTTCAGCTAGGTATAATAGAAACTCCAGTACAGGACCTTCGCCAAAATTGTTACAATGTTCCTTGTGACACTGGAAAACTAGAAGCAGGCAGTCCAGAATTAGTGTGTTGGCTTAATTGCCTCAACCCAAATGGGCACATGTCACTGCTGCTCACATCTGGTCACATGGCCTCAACACAACTGCAGGGAGGCTGGGAGACGTGTCTTCTCTTTCTCTGTTTCCCCATCCCTTCTTCTTTACTGTCAAAGCCCGCTTTCCAACATAGAAGCCAAAAACAAAGCAAAACAAACAAAAACCCCCAGATACTCACCTTTCCTCCCCTCCTTGGACCTAGGGCGTGGAATATGGTCATTCTTGACCAATGGGACTAAGGAGAAGTCTATGGAAGGTCTACTCAGAAATGTTTTCTCCACAATAAAAATAGACACTGAGAGGAAATGTTCCGCTTTAGTCAAACGTCGTTCTGTCCACATGTGCTGCTCAAAGTGAGGCAGCGATCTTGGGGCCACGTGGGGACAGATTAACAAATGAACATTACGAGTCAGAAAGAGATGATGGAGCAGAGACCAGAGAGCGGGGGAAGACGTTGACTGAGTGTACTCCCTCCTCCTTTCCTGGGAGATGAGCCTCTGGATCACCCTCCCGATTAACATGACATGACCATGAAGAACTGGCAAGGAGTAACCCAGAGGGGGACATCTGGCAAGCAGGCCTTCACGAACAGCGGGCAGAGAGGAGAGAGGCAGGAGAGTTTCGGGTGGGGCGGAGGTGGAGGGGCTGAATCCCTCGGTGCGTAGGGTGTCCATCAGGCTGTGGCTGGGTACCAGCTCTCCCGCAGATCAAATGGGAAAACGTGTTCGCTCTCGGGTGGGAAACCAAGTTTCTAATAGTTCCGGCATTGAGGAAGACAGCCAGCCACTGGGGGATCCTTCTGGTCAGAGCTGATCTGGTGCTAAGAATGCTGGATGTGGGGTCTGTGTATGTCCAGCCAGGGCCGAGTTAGATCATCCACGATGCGTTTATAGTGGCTAGTGTCATAAACATGTCGCTTGGTGTGATTTGGTATTCAGTATATCTCTCAGGGAGATCCTGGCGCTCCTCGTCAGCCAGGCTGCCAGGAGAAGGCAGTAGTTAGTAAAAACTCGATGCCCTCTTTCTCCAGTAGCCCCTGCTGTGCTGGCGATTGCGTGCGTCTGTGCTGAAACCCTGCCCCATTTTCTGGGTGCTTCATTTATTAATGCATGTTTACTGAGGGGCCACTATGTGCTAAGCCACAGGCTGGACGCTCGAGATGCAATATTAAAGACTGCGAGCAAGGCCCTGCACGCATGGAGCTTACGGATTTTGGAGAGAGACAGACATCAAACAAGCGAAACAAAGATGAATGTATATTACCTGCCGTGTTAGACGCTTGGAAGGAAAGGATTTGGAGCTAGGCAAGAATCTGACCTGGATAGCAGAGTCAAGGCCGTTAAGCTGAGGTGAGAAGGAGCCCAGGACGGAAGTCGGGGCGCAGGCGGGGAGGAGAGCAGAGCAGGAGGCAGCCGGGGCCGTGGCTTGGTGTTTAGGAACTGCTTTGTTCCAAGGTGGGAAATAATCAGAAATGTGTCAGGGTAGACTCTCCGAAGAGTCTCCTGCTATAACACAACTCAGTCCTGTATATGCCATAATTTGTATGACACTCCTGGGCTCGTGGAAAATAAAGGAAGTGTCTACAGGAACGGAAAGGCGACCCCAGGACTCATGGGAGCTCTTGACACGTGGAAAACTGTCCACCATGGTTGCAGGTGCACTCGGGGGGCGGCGGGGGCATAGGGCCTGAGCATCCACAGCCCTGCTACACACATTGTTCGGCTTAAGGCTATCAAGGGCCCATGAGACGCCAGGCTCTGTGAGCAAGACACACAAGATCGCTGCTGTCACAGGCGGATGCCAGCTGGCAGTCTTATCAGGGAGAAAGACAACAAACAGGGAATAGATAAATAATTTCAGATGGTGACAATATGAGGAAATTCAAAGGCAGCATATTGTGGGAAGGAGTTACCTACCAGGTGGTGAGCAGTGTGGGTGGGTAACTTTAGCTGGGGTGGTCTGGGAAGCCCCCGCCAAAAAGCTGACATTTCAGTTAAGAACGGGAGTCCGCCATGTGAATTGGGGGGGCAGGGGGGACGCGAGTGTAGAACTTTCCAGATCTAGAGACTTCTCTTTTCCCAAGCATCTGCCCTAAGTCTAGACACTGATCCAAAAGCTTCTGAGAGAAAACAAAGCCCAGGACTGGGACGTGCCTGCCTTCACTGTCAAGACCTCCAGGCCGGGGTGCCCAAAGCAACCCAAGTATGAGAGGGAAGCGTATGTACAACCCCGAGCCCGTCTCACCTGGACGTGGACAGGAGAGGAATCACCTGCCGTGCGGTTTGGCCAGAGAGCAGAGGGGCTGTTTGTCGTCAGATATACAGCATGAAGCCAGAGAAAGGCATACACACCGTGCATGCTGGTCACCTGGGGTGCGACTGGGGCGCAGAGACAGCGAGAGATTATTAAATCTGTGCTGTTTCAGTGAGGTGTTAATTGTATCATTTCGGGAGAGAAATGTAATAAATATTAATTTTTAATTTGTACAGTGAAACAATGAGTGCAAATTCTCAATCAAAACATGCAAATAAATATTTCCCAGGCTCTCGAGGCCGAAGGGTCGAAATGGTCAAAAAAGGATCATTAGCCTTCGCACCACGGCCGCCTCCCTATTTTTATGGAACAGAACTACAGCCATCTTAGTAACCAGCAGCGGATCGGTGAGACTTCTGCTCCTGGAGAGATTTCCAGCTGGCAAAACGAACAGCTGGTATTAGCCTGGGGACATTTTGGAACACGCTTAAGC